GTTTGAGTCCAATAAGTTTGTATTAACCAAGAAGGATATACTTGTTAATGGGGTACATATACCAACCCATGGAATACCAGGATAGTCAATAAACCTGACCTGGTTGAAAACCACATATAACAAATAAATGCAAGGCGAAATTCAACCTATCAAGTAATCCCGACCATGTACACCAAGAATCACCCTATCTTCTATACACGACCTATAAAGCAATATCCTAGGAAACACGGAAAATACAAGCTTATTCTGTTAAAGTTTTGTGGCCAAACTTTAAATATTAAAAGGTTCCAAAAAAGTGTAAAAATATTAATTGCAAGGACCAAAAGTGTGAAAATGGGTAAAGAATAATGACCAAAGTTGCCAAAAAACATCCAAATTTAGTATTCCTAACTTCCAACAATAATACAGGGACCAATTCTGCCAAAAAAATGGGAAGTTGAATGGAACACAAACAAAAGTACATGAATAAATTAATTAAAGAAGTACAGGGACCGGATATATAAATCTAGGGACCAAACTTAGACAAAGTATCCCAAATTTACTATTCATTTCTTCCACAATTTTAATATATATATAATAATTGGTACCAATTCAAAACCTGAAATCCGTCATTCGAATTCAGATTTATAAAAAGAATAAAATCTAAAACACTCTACAGGGTAAAGTCATGCTATTATCTGCCTTTTTTATTTTATCATTTTAACCACCGATATCCTTATCAAAATAAAATACGTTACAATTGACATTAAGCTTTGGATTATAAACACAAAACATATAATTCTTGGTTGGTTAAATTATGTATCAATTACGGCAGTAACAAACCCTTTTTATTAAATGTTGATAAAACTGTTCATAAAATTGTTAGGATTAGAGATAACTTATTAGGAAGAAAATTAAGTAATGCCACGTACTCTTAAAAACAAACTAATACTTTTTTGTTTTAATTTTTAGAAAACAATGTTCTTAAATCTTTGATACTTGCTATATTTCTGAGTGAAAAAATACTTATAAGATCAAAATAAAATTTTGAACATTAATAATTTTGGATAGATTTTTAAAATTTTTTAATAACAAAACAAACCTTTTACTTTTACTTGTAATTCATCTTCATTCGAATTATGAACTTAAAACTTTTTTTAAAAAAATCAACAAAATTATTTTACTTTAAACCTAATTTCATAACCTTTTTATCGAGTTAAGTAGTATGCCTTTTGTGAAATATCAATAAACTTTTTAATATCTAAATTCTTTAACACAACACAACATTCACCAAATACGTTTTTTTCATTTATATCTAAAACCATTTGTTCGCTATTACCTCTCTAAATCATAAAATAACCATTCATCATATCAAAAACAATAATATTTCATAAATACTATATGACCTCCTGCAATATTATATAATCTCGATCCTTTTTTATTGTCAATTTTAAATTTTACAAATAAACCAAAAGATAAAAACAATTAATCGGAATATAAATTGCTAAACATGCATTCATTTACATTTATTAAAAACAAACTTCTTTTCAAGAAACCAAAATACATTTCCGACGCTAAAAAAATATAAGCTTTTACCAACATAATCTTAAAACTAACAGTGCCTTCAGATCTTTTTGGGAAATCAAGTAACATCGTATTGTTTATATTTTCTGGACTTGAAAAACTTTATCATCAAAACCTGAAACACAAAAAAATAAAGAAATAGCAAGAGTTACAAAAAAAAAAAAAAAAAAAAAAAAACATTTGTAGGCCCTTGAAACCACGCTTGATAACCCATTTTCTTGGGTACCTAAAATATACATAACATTTTCACACCATAACAAAAAAATAGAGAAGTTGGATAAAGTGGCTTAGAGAAGAGGTGGTGACATCGTGAGAGTCATTAGAGAAAACTGGAGTGATGTCGGCTTATTCTTCAAGGAGAATAAATCTAGTGCATATATTGTGGCAATGGTAGACACTACATCAATCTGGAAATGGTGAGTAGCGTAGGTTATGGAGGTGGTTAAGGTCGCCGGTAAGCCAAGAGAGAAAATGACAGTGGTTGTGGTGGTGTTAGGGACGACGGCTATGGTTTTTCTTGAGAGAATGAAATCATCCCTATGATATGAATTTAAGACTTTGTGGCTGGAGGTGATGAGGGAGATGGTGGATAATGGACGCTGAGGAGGGAGATTACTGAGTTTTTGAAAAAGATGTTTAGAGAGATGCAACTTTTAGGGGAATTTGAAAGGTTTGTGCTATAAGTACCCTGATTTTATCCCCTAACATCAATCTAATCAACCTTTTACATTTGATTTAGCATTTTTTTTTTTTTCTTTTTCTTTTTTTTTTTTTTCTTTTTTTTTCTTTTTCCTTTTTTGTTGTTTTTTCTTTTATTAATAATAATAATAATAATAATAATACTATTATTATTATTATTATTATTATTATTATTATTATAAATTTCGATAACCATATAAAATTCGGACAACATTTTAAAATTCAGACAACATTATAAATTCGGACGATATTATAAAATTTGAACGACTATATAAAATGCAACAAAAGTAAAGTTTGTATCCAATCCACATAACGCACCACGCAAATGTAATAACAAACCAATTAATATATCTGTGATAAATAAAGACAAACATTGCTTTTGTTCCGTTTTATATTGCCGTTTGAATTTTATTATCTCGTCCAAATTTATAATGTCGTACGAATTTTAAAATTTCATCTGAATTTATAATGTTATCGGATTTTAAAAACCGATTTATAAAATATAAATTAAAAAAGAATTAAAAACCGATTTTATATAGTCGTTCGAATTTATAATGTCATCCGATATATAAAATGTTGTTCGAAATTTATAATAATAATAATAATAATAATAATATTAAAATATATAATAAAAAAATAATTAAAAACCGATTTTATATAGACGTTCGAATTTTATAACGTCGTCCGAATTATAAAATTTTGTTCGAAATTTATAATAATAATAATAATAATAATAATGATAATAATAATATTAATATTAAAATAATAATAATAATAATAAATTAAAAACAACAAAAAAACAAAATAAAAAAAAAACATAAAAAGACAAAAATCAATTCAGCGGGTGGTGAAATTGGAAAAGTGATGAGGGTACTTATAGAAAGCTCATTTCAAATGTAGACCAATGAGGTAGGTGTATATATATATATATTAAATTGCATAAATATTTCCTCATTCTGATTGGTTTCATTTATTTGACTCAGATCACTAATTTATAATTAAATCTATACCATTGATTATGATCTAATGATCTATATTTGAGCTCCTTATTTTAAAACTTTAGTCTTAAAAATTGAGGGGTCCACTATTATATATGTATAATATATATATATATATATATATATATATATATATATATATCAATTTTAATCAACATTTAGTTTATTTTACTTTCATGTTAGTGGAATTTAACGTTTTCTTTTATGTTAAATATTGCCGTTAATGAGTCGAGTTGTAGTCAAGTTGATGGTTCTTGGTCTAACAGTCTTAAAGACCAAATTTAAATCGTTGTATTGCACGATTTTTTACGGCTAGTTCCTAACCACTTTGCCTAATAAATTCTTTTGAGCGTTCAAAAATAAATTTGAATATATATTTTTTCGTGGTATTTTAGGATGTATTTGATTGTGTAAAATTGTTTTGATTTTCGAAGAAAATGTTTTCAGAAAATAAAATTGGGTATTTATTTTAACTTTTCAATTAAAATTTTAGAAAACGCGTTTGGTTAGAACCCGTGAAGTTTTCATTTTTCATCTTAGAAATTTAGAAAATATTTGAAAACTGTAAAAAAATCATTTTTTTCTAATTTGCATACAATTTGGAAACATGAAAATTTTCATTTTCTAGAAAACTTTGGAAAACTGTAAGAACCAAAAGCGTTTTCAAAATTTCCGTTTTTCTGGAAAAGTTTTCTGAAAATCTGAAAACTTTTCCACAACCAAACGCACCCTTAGGTTGCGTTTGGTTACGGAAAAACAATTTTCATTTTCCGTTTTTCGTTTTCCCTTTTCCCTTTTCAGTTTTTGTTTTTTCGTTTTCAGTTTTCATTGGAAAATTTAGAAAACGCGTTTAGATGTGTATATTTTTATCGGTTTTCATTTTTAGAAAACGGTAGCGATGGTAGGGTGGGGGCAGTGGTGGTGTCGATGATAGCGGCGATAGTGGTGGAGGTGGCGACAGTGGTGGAGATGACAGGCAATGGTGGTGGTGTCGGCGGCAGTGGTAGTGATTGTGTCGGCAGTGGTGATTCTGGTGTTGGGATAGTGGTGATGGTGATGATATGTAGGTGATTGTGGTAGTGGTGTTGGGTGTGTGTGTGTGTGTGTGTGTGTGTGGTGGGGGAGGGGTTGTAGGTGTGAGTGGGGGTTGGTGTGAGTGTGTATTTGTGGGGGTGGGTGTGTATGTGTGGGTAGGGGTTCGGGTGAGTGTTTCTTTATGTGTGTGTATTTGTGTGTTTGTGGGAGTGGGGGTGAGTGCGGATTTGTAATTTTAGAAAAACGCAAAATTTTCATTTTCGTTTAAAATTTTGAAAAATAGACGAACTAAACGTATTTTTAAAATTCTTATTTTTTTTGGAAAAAATTTCTGAAAAACAACCAATTTTTCCGCAACTAAACGCACCCTTATGATTTCAAACGTTTTTCTTTTTCACAGGACAATGATTTTCAAAGATGATTCACTGTGTGTAGAAAACGTACGCATTGAAATTAAGTTCTGTGCCCTACATAATAAATTCCATGATGACTTATGCACATATTTGTGTGGTTTATGTTGTTCCTTGATTTGCATGAATTCGTTGGACTTCTCTTCACCATATAAACTATAATATTTTGAAAAATAACTTGAATGCTCAGGCGGAGTTATGTTGATGGGTCGTATTACCCTCAATAATGGATATATTGCATTAATTTCTTTACATGCAATCAATTATCCTTGTAACCCCAAGTCTAGTTCCCAAAATGAACTCTCGTAGTGCTTTCCATCTTTTTAGCCTTATTATCTTTCTGATTACTACCACCATCTCTTATTCCGATAATGATACCGATTATCAAGCATTGTTGCAGTTCAAGTCGATGATCACCAATGATCCACTAACTTCATGGAATACTTCCTTTCAGTTCTGTAATTGGATTGGAGTTTCATGTGGGAAACAACAGAAAAGAGTGATTGCTTTACGACTGAATTCACATGGCCTTAAAGGCTCATTGTCTCCTTATGTGGGGAACCTCACCTTCCTTCGTGACCTTTATCTCACAAACAACAGCTTTCAAGGAACAATCCCTCATGAACTCAGTCGTCTATCCATGTTACGTTTCATCGATCTTTCTGATAACAATTTCAGTGGAGTCATTCCAACGAACTTGTCTGGTTGTTCAAACATTGAAGAGCTAAGACTTAATAATAACAAGCTAGTTGGAAGCATACCCAAAGAGATCAGTTTCCTCTCGAAGCTTACCCATTTTGTAGTTGCTGATAATATGATAACAGGTGGAATTCCACCTCTCTTGGGGAATATAACATCAATGATCATGTTCTCTGTTAAAAGCAACCCGTTGGGTGGGGGCATTCCAGACACCTTACGCCATTGGAAAAGCTTAACAACATTATACCTTGGTGGTTGTAACTTATCTGGAACTATTCCTCATTCCATTTATAACCTTTCACTTCTAACTAATATTTCCTTAGGTGAAAATCAGCTTATTGGTAGTCTTCCCTCAGATATAGGTACAATGCTCCCCCATCTTACGTTCGTTCAATTACGGAATAACCAGTTGACTGGACCTCTTCCACCTTCAATATCTAATTGTTCAAATTTGAGATTTCTTGAAATGAGTGAAAACAAGTTTCGAGGGAAGTTGGCAATCGACTTTGGAAAACTAAAAGATATTTATAGAATAAATTTGGGTTCTAACATCTATGGATTCGGAGAAGCCAATGATATGAAGTTTATCGATACTTTGCAAAACTGCAGCAAATTAAAGATTTTAGATCTTTATAATTGCAGCTTTGAAGGAGTGTTACCCACATCAATCGGTAATCTAACGAATCAACTTTCTAATCTATATTTAGGAGCAAATCATTTCTATGGAAATATCCCTTCAAGTGTAGGTAATCTTGTTGGCTTGAATACTTTTAGTATAGGAGATAACCAATTTACAGGAAAAATCCCCTCAACCATTGGTCAACTTCAAAAGCTACGTGAAGCTTATTTTTTTTGGAACCAATTTTCAGGTCCGATTCCTGATGCCTTCGGGAACTTATCATTGTTAATTACACTTGATTTAAGTTCCAACAAACTCGAATCCAATATTCCATCAAGCCTAGGAAATTGTCAGCATCTATCTCAATTGTACCTTAATGACAATAAACTCAGTGGCAAAATCCCTAAGCAACTTCTTCAACTTTCGTCTCTAACCATATCATTATATCTTTCTCAAAACCATCTATCTGGGTCACTTCCAAGAGAGGTCGGGGAACTTAAGATGTTATCTTCTCTCGATCTTTCTGATAATAATTTATCAGGTAACATTCCAAGTAGTCTTAGTAGTTGCACAAGTCTTGTATTTTTATCTCTCAAAGGCAACTTATTTCAAGCCATGGTACCATCGTCATTAAGTTCCATGAGAGGAGTTTCGAAACTCGATCTCTCTCATAATAATTTATCGGGAAAAGTTCCACGATTCTTAGAACATATGGAATTATTAGAATATGTAAACCTATCCTTTAATAATTTTGAGGGTGAAGTGCCAATCGTAGGAGTGTTTGCAAATGCAAGTGGATTTTCAGTTGTAGGGAATAGTAGGCTTTGTGGTGGGTTGGATGAACTTCAGTTGCCAAAATGCATGGAGACTCGAAAACATAAAAAAAAGTTTCCGTTGTTCGTAATAGTCATCTTAATTGTATCCTCCCTTTTCATTGTTTTATGTTTTGCGTATGTTTGTTGTAAGAAAAGGAAAGGCCAATTGTCTCGATCATTGACTAATGAACGATTTGGGAAAGTATCATATAGTCAACTTCTCAAGGCTACGAATGGTTTCTCCAAAGAGAATTTGATTGGAGAGGGTGGGTTCAGTTCTGTTTACAAAGGAGTCATTGACGATGATGATAGATTTGTTGCAGTCAAAGTTCTTCGTCTTCAAAACCGAGGTGCTCATAAAAGCTTCATACCGGAGTGTGAAGCATGGCGAAGCATTCGACACAGGAATATATTAAAGATAATAAATTCATGTTCAAGTGTTGACTTTCAAGGCAATGACTTCAAAGCTTTGGTATACGAGTTCATGCCAAATGGGAGTTTACATGATTGGTTACATTCAAGTGTAATTAAATCAAGAATGAGCGTTCTTCAAAGAATAAATATTCTCCTTGATGTCGCATTTGCACTTGATTATCTTCACAATCACTGCTTACAAGCCATTGTTCACTGTGACCTGAAGCCTAGCAACATTCTTCTAGATGGTGATATGGTGGCACATGTTGGAGACTTTGGTTTAGCTCGATTTCTCGGAACAAGTTCAAACCAAAATAGCACAAGTGGCATTAGAGGGACAATTGGGTATACACCTCCAGGTAAAGTTCATGTATTCACATATACTTATATTTATTTGTTATGCTACCTTTTATTTAAAAGTAATTGCTAATAAGTTGCAGAGTATGGTTTGGGGGGTGAGATGACAAGTGGTGGGGATGTCTACAGTTTTGGAATACTATTGCTGGAGGTGATTACAGGGAAAAGTCCAACAGATAACTTCTTTAATGAAGGCCTTAGCCTTCATAAGTTTGCATACATGGGTTTGTCGAACAATATAACCGATGTTATTGATGATGATATTCTAAACTTTCTTCAAGAGGATGATATTACTAGGAAATATACGTTAGAAAATTTAAAGAAGATAGAGCAATGTCTGGCTTCAATTGTAAGAATAGGAGTGTCATGCTCCGTGCATTCCCCACCACAACGAATGGATATTGCAAATGTTGTCCATGAGTTGCAACATATCGTGGATGTTGTTCAAAATATTTGATGTTCCATGTTAGTCAATATTTTGGATGCTAATTTTTAAAGACAAATGTATTATAGTATTTGGTCAATCTTGTAATTTTGTTATGGGAATAAATAAAATAAACATTTTTTATTACAAATATGGTAGCCTTTAATGAAAAGATAGAATTTTGAGGTACATTTTGAAGAGTAGAAACATCGGGGGTCAAATTCCAAATCATGGAAATTTGAAAACTATACAAAATGAATTATTTTATAGACGGGGAAGATCAGAAAGAAAAGAATGATCGTGTAGGGAGAATCTTACAAGAACCGAAGCAAAATTTGAGTATATTATCAAGATTGAGAACCATTTTATGGTGTAGTGCATTCTCTAAGACTGTGGGGAGTGGTCATAGCCAACTCACCGAAAAAATATGTTGACATCTTTTTATCACATCAGCTTCACCAACAACCCACTAGACATTGGAAATGGTTGCTACTTCACATTATTTATATTTTTATTGTTTTAATTTTAAAGCATTAGATTAAATTAAAAAACATAATTATAAACTTAAGTGATCATTTTACTAATTAAAAAATCAAATAAACATATTATTAATTTTTAAAATTAAATAAACATGGTTATATATAGTTAAAGGTTTAACTTAATTCAAATAAAACTGAAAGAGTATAATAAGATTAACTGACAGAATCTCAATGACCAAATTTGTAACTTCAATTAAAACAAATATAATGTCCACCCGTTTACGTTTTGGTTGTCTTCTTCACCCAATTTCTGGAAAACGAGTACATTACCTTTTTTTTTTACTTCGATGGATACATAGGAAAAGAGAAAAAAAAGGTCAAATATGTGACCGTTGCTGTTGCTACTTTCTTATTCGTCGTCTTCGTCCGTCCTACCACTCAAGCCACACTCAAACCACCGGCCTTAGGGGTGGTGTTCAAGCGTCCTTAGGCCGGACACATCAGCAAGACGCATGGGTTAGTCCTCCCACTCTGGTTAGCCTAATTGATATATTGGCTTATTCTTGTTTGGAATTAGTGGCAACTGATGTTGCTGGTTAGAATATAAGCAATATGCATCCGAAATTGATTGTTAATGGCTTCAAGTTAAATTGATGTATAAGTATGTTTATATCTATATGTTCTGACATGCACTGTTAAATCTTTAAATTCACCCTAATTTGAGATAAGTAATGTTATGGTACACAAATTGAGGCTATAAGAATGTTTTTATGTTTGGGATAAGGAGTTTGGTTGAAAGAAACTAAAGAAGAAGGATGAAAGATGGCTTTTAAAGGAGTAACTACAAACATGGGATGAATTATGCCATCTTGTAATGTAGGTGAACGACATTAAAAATTTGGGACGGGGAAATACAGAAAATTGATAAATAAGAACTAGGTGTAACACTCATGTATTATATGAGTTAATTAAAAAATATTAAATATAAATGTGTAAATATTGAAGAACTTTGGATTTATAAAAAATAAGAAAAATAATGAATTATTAAAATTGATTTTTTTATCTTTTAAATTTAAATAAATAAACAAAATAAACTAATGAGTTTTAGATTGAGAATTTTGAAATAAGAAGGTAAGTTCATTAATGAAATTGATATTCATTCATTATTGTAATTATTACATTAAAGTATTATGTGGAATTTATTAAAATAGAAAAGGCCATATAATGACATTTATTGTGAGGCTCATGTATTACATGGTTTAATTAAAAAAAAGTTAAATATAAAAGTCAAAATATTCGAGAACTTTGAATTTATAAGAAAATAAGAAAAATAATGAATTATTATAATTGAATTTTTTTATCTTTCAAATTTAACAAAAAATTTAAACAAACAAACAAAAAAAAACTAATAGGCTTTAATTTGAAAATTTTGAAATTAAAAGGTAAATTCATTAATAAAATTGATATTCATTTATTACTATATTTATTGTAATTATTACATTAAAATATTATGTTGAATTTAATAAAATAAAAAAATTCATAAAATGACAATTGGAAAAAAAAATTAATTCAAAGTTACCACAAAATAAGATTTATGATATTTGCAGAAAAATTGCCCAGACAGCTTTAGCTTGGGCTGATGGCTTTATCTGATAGCTTGGACAAACATTTTGGAATGACAGCTTGGAAACGAACAATTTGTCCCGATAGCTTGGTTAGTTTTTCTATTTTACTTCATTTTGAATTATGTTTTTCCACTGCATTCCAGGTCCAAAACTTGACCCCCATCATTTCCTTGTGTCTAGGATTAATCTCGCCATATATAGGTGTGTGTGTTCCTCACCTCCTAACTTGTAATAGATCATAGTCTAAATCTCTATTTGGCACTAGTATTAATTCAAATTACCCAAAATAGACGATGACACTAAATCACCAATAATCATCCTTTATTTTAGTGTAACATATAAAATAACACAACATATTAAACAAACCAAAACCTATAGGTAAATGTTTATGTCTCATCGATTGAATTTTAATTTTTGCATTTTACATAATAAAAATATTCTAGAATCAGGGTGTCCTAAGGATTGAACTCGTAAATCTATTTGAATGCATGAAAATAAAATATATACATATCTAAAAACATAAACCTTGACACAATTACCAGTCATGTGTCCTAATTCCTCTCATGATTATACAAAGTCCAAGTCCTCAAACCTTTGAGGTACAACTGCACTTCACAATCATATAGGTACTTGCTTTACATCATCTATCCATTCGGTTATGATACTTTTCCATAAAAGCAATAGAACAAAAACATATACAAAAACTTTGATCATTATAACACATCAAGGATTTTGTTTTAGAGAACTTTTAGCAATAAAATATCACACATGCAAGGCTTGAATTATACATTTCCTTGATGATGTGGTTAAGCCGATTTATTGCCTTGGATGAGTTAGCGCCCAAAGTTGAACTCCTCGGATGTAGTTGCACACCAAGACGGATGAATCAAACACTTTTGATACTCTCCTTAGCTCAAATCTTCAAGGAGTACTCAAGAACAGCAAGAACATACATTGAGTATATATGTGTTCAACTTTTAAGAGAGAGAGAGAGAGAGAGAGAGCTAGAGAGTGAGATAATGAGATATTAAGTGACTTAATAGTGAAAGCCTTCACATTCTCTTAATAAGAGACTAGTTGTGAGACCTATGCATTACATGGGTTATTTTAAAAAAAAAAGTTAAATATAAAGGTCAAAGTATTTGAGAATTTTGAATTTATAAGAAAATAAGAAAAATAATGATTTATTATAATGGAAATGTCTTTTTATCTTTTAAATTTAAACAAATAATTTAAATAAAGAAAAGAAACTAATGACCTTTAATTTTGGGAATTTTGAAATTAAAAGGTAAGTTTATTAGTGAAATTAATATCCACTTATTTTTGTGATTAAAACCCTAATTATGATTTGATGAACAAGATGCGGAAAATAAGAACAAACACAAATATGAAGATATGTCGAATGATCACTCGGTTTATTCAATTATGAGGAATAGATTACACTTTCAGAATAAGAATGTAACTCTACAAGAAACCTCACAACGTGGAGGCTGCATTTTTCCTCACTCTTAACCCTAATAATGAATAATCGATGACTATTTATAGGAAAAAGACAAGTCTTGGGCTTTTAACCTACACTTCATCAAGGGGGCCCATTGCCATCATCCATGGAGTACTTTGAAACCCTACAATCTCCCCCTCAAAGTATGGAATGGATGACAATGCTTTAACTTCCAAAACAAGCATCTAACAAAATAAGAAAAGATCTCGCAACGAGGAATATTTGAAGCAATCCACGAATCTTGATTCTTCAATAGTCTTCAACAACGGGTTCTAGGATATATATATATATATATATATATATATATATATATATATATATATATATATATATATATATATATATATAAACCAAGCACTGAAGTAATGTTTTTAAACCTCATTTTCTGATGTAATCCCAAAGATCTTCAATAAAGCCAAACCCGCCATAAAAACCCATTTCAGAACAAAGAAACCAATTCACTTCTTGTCTTTGAAGAGCTCCCCCTCCAAGTCACAATGATCTTCAAATAAGCTAATGATATAAGCCACCAAAAATTATCATGTAACAACCCAAATTTTAAGATTCGTAACGCCGCTTGATCGAGAAAATACTAGAAGATGGAGATATAACAAGTCCTTAGAAGAGCTCGATGAAGAACTGCTACTGTAAATGATACTTCTCTGCAAAAGCTTTAGAAGAGCTTGATGAAGAAATGTTACTGTAAAAGCTACCTTCATAATTCTACCACAAGCTTTTCAAAAATCTTCAAATTTGAAAAGTCACAAATCCAATTTGTAATGGCCATACCAAATTCTCCCCCGATTTATAATAAAAAACGTGATTATAAAGCCTGCAAATGGTCATGAGAATGATCTTGAATGGATAAATAATTACTATGCTCCCCCGCGACAAAATGATATACACAATGAAGTATAAAATCCGAAAAAGTCGAAATTTTTTTACTTTATTGCGAAAAACGACTTTCCCAACCGCCAAGACTTGATGAAATCCTTATTTTGCTATTCACGAAAAAATATGTGCATTAAAGAATTCAAAACTGTTCACCAGCCCTCAAATTTGTAAACCTTTCAAAAAATGGGCTGAAATTGTCACTTTTCAGAAATTCAGGGGACAAAATTAATAATTCTGCACCATATTCCCCTTTATTTGTAACAAAATTTGGAAATGGTCCAAAAAATGCCAAACTGTGAAAACAACAGGGACCCAAAGTTCCAATTCACTGGAGTTGTAGGGACCAAAAATGTAACATTGTTATCTTCTTCCCCGAATACAGTGACTCAAACGAACGCGAAACCTCCAAAATCAACACCCACTTTCGTAGCATGAAGATAAGAACACGAATCCAAACCAACACTGATTTGCACTTTCGCTCCGAGCACAAGGTTCGTTTTCAGTCATTCGTGCCTAACGGACTCCGAATCCTAGTTTAGTGCCACCGTTCGTTCCAAGTTCGTTGATTCTACACCCAAAGCGAATCTCCATAAAAACGAATCCAAACACAGGTTCTTGAGTGCG